ACATAATAAAATGTTTATTAAAAAACGATCACATTTGTGATCGTTTGTCACACACACACACACACACATATATATATATATATTAAGCCCAAAAATTAAAAATTAATTAAGCTTAATTTTTTTTTATTTTTCAGTCCAATAGCTACTATCCAGACTTCATATAAAATTGGTTTTTTTATTTAAATTTTTTCATTTTTTTGACCCAACCCAAATTTATTAGGAAAGATGTAGAACCGTCGGCTCTATGATTGACCGTTCGGTTCGATTCCATGATACCTTAAACCATAACCAATCCGTAGGTAGCCGGTTACGATCCGGTTTGATCAAGGTTACGATTTTAACGGTTCCGATTTGATTTTTTAACGATTCAATTTTGGTTCGATTTACGATTTGAACCGAACCGTTACCATGTCTAGGATAGAGGATCAAAGGGTTATGATTGAAAAATTGAGTTTTAGAAAAAGAAAAGGTGATAGAAAAAAAGAATACGAAGCTTAGAGACAATAGGTTTTTGAGGAAAAAAAAAAGGAAGCTACTCTTTGGATTTTTATTTTGAAATCTTCAGCCATATTCTCTTCTTGATTGTGAGAATGGAAGTGGAGCTAACCTTGAGTCTTCCTGTAGAAGCCTTAAAAGATTTTTTTTTCTTCCATGACTTCTCTTTCTCTCTTTAAAAAACTCATCCTATGTTGGAAAAAATACATGGAAAATAATTTTAGCATAAACTTCATAGGTATACGAGGGAGAAGGATGATTTTTTAAGGGTTAAAAACCACACAGATAAAAAAAAAGGAAAAAAAAAAAAAGGGAGGAAGGGTGGGGGGTGTGGCGCCGCCATGGGGTTTATAGGGGCAGCATTTAATTCAACTTTTGACCATTAATTGGTTGTTTCTGCTTCTTCATTTAAAATGGGAGGGACGGAATGTCTCATAGTTATAATATCCTTTCAATTAGGTCCCTAATGTGAATGATTTGGGCGAAATTGAAAGAAGCTCTAATCCTATGGCTAGTTTGGTTTTTATTCATTTTGACTGGTCTACCTTAATTATTTTAAACCTGGAATTTTTAGGGTTTATACATATGTTTTTCCATAAGTTGTGTTTTAAATTTTATCATTTTAGGAATCTATTTACTATTATTTTTACTATTTATTTATTATTCTACCTTTATTGTAATTATCAGTGTGAATTGTTTCAAAATTTAAGTTTGTTTCATGTGGTTGTCATTAGGATGTGTTTTAAATTTGGGATTTTTGGAGTTTAGTTACTATTATTTTGCAATTTATTTATCATTATGTCATTATTTTAATTATTAATGTGAATTTTTTTAAAATTTAATTATTAAGTCCAATGTTTAATTTTATTTTAATTGAAATTTTAAAGTTTGTTCATGTGTTTGTCCTAAACAAGTTTTTTTTAATTTTGTAATTTTTGGAGTCTATTTAATTTAATTTTATAATTTATTTATTATTATGCTATTACTTTAATTATTAATGTGAATGTGTTTCGGAATTTAATTATTAGGTCTTGTGTCCCATGTTATTTTAACTAGAAAATTATAAGGTGAGTTCACATATCTAGCTTTAGCTTATGTTTTAAATTTTTTTTGGATCTATTTATTATTATGTTTGCAACTTATTTATTATTATGCCACTATTTTAATTATTTGGGAGGTCTTGAGTTAAAATTTAATCATTTGGTTCATTTTCCAATCTCATTTAAATCTAAAAATATTAGGAGATGCGAAAGTATATATTAATAAGTTGTTCGTAAATTTTTGTTGAATTTAGACTTTTTTTGGTCACTATTTCAATTTTTTTTTTTTTTTTTTTGCTATGTCTAACTTATAATTTAATTTACTTATTAAAGCTCTTAAATGCATTTACCAAGATGTGAGTTCGTCAAGTCTCTTAAATTTTACGGATCGATGACAATTTATATCAAACTTAGTTTATAATTAGAAAAGAATATGTCATCGTAGTGTAATTAGAAAACTTTAAGTCAACTCGATGGATCTCCTATTTAAATGAAGACTAATGTTAGTCTCGACTCTCAATAAAAAAAATAATAAAAAAGGAAATAAAAAGAAGAAAATTAGCTAGGATAAATACAAATAATTTTAAATTGCTTTAGCTAATGAGGTTGTTTTTTGACATGCCAATCTTATTAATACATAATTGAATATGATGCTAAATTGATGCGATTTCTAACCCTAGGGTCCGATGTCAATTTAATAAGATGCCGCAAACCAAAAAATAAAAATTAGTTTGTCATGGATGATAAATAAACTTGAAAGTAGACTTAGGAAAATAATTTGCTAAAAACATAATTTTTAGGAAATATTCATAGGATTAGACTAAATTTGGCACCTTTACTAAAAAAAAATACTTTTGAGTGATTGTTATCTTTTCAAATACATAACTAACTTTTTAAACAGAATATCTAAATCCAATGCCTTTTTAGATTCCTAGTTACCTTTGATACTAGATTGCGATCCCAAAACCTTTTTTTAATTCTTTTTTTCTTAGAAAACATAAAATTTTTGAAAGTCTACTAGATGTTGAGTAACGACAATATCCATAAATTTAGAACTTTGAAATCTAACATTTATCTTTAAAATTTCAATTGCATCACATCTGTCTTTAAAAATTTTTGTAATGTTCAATTGTTTTTTTGATCAAATTTTCCAATCATGATTTGTTTTTACTAAAATATCCTTTACTAAAATGCAAAAAAAAAAAAAAAAAAAAACAACTTCTTTTTTAAAATCTTTAGCTTTTATTTTATTTTTTGCATTTCAATCGGGGGCATTTCAATTATTATTTTTTATTTGGCTAGAAAAAATGATGGAAAGGATAGATTAAGTATTTCGAACACTATTAATGACAAGTAAAATGCAATTAGAAAGGTAAGAATATATATATATACACAAACCGATATTTTATTATGATACATGTATCTAATTAATTATAATATATATATATTTATTTAATTATGATACATGTAATTATTGGACTGGAGTTACAACTATAAAAAAAGAATGTGGTCATTTCTCTTTCTCTTAATAAAAAAAATAACAGTATTAAAGAAAATCATTTTTAATAAAAAGATCAAGAGAAAAAATCATTTTTAATCTATTATCTACTTCTTAATAATCAAGGTAAGTTTTCTTCTAAATTATGTCAAAAGCTATATATAAAAGCTGAATTAATGCATAAAATCAGAGTTTACATCCTGTAAAACCAAAGAAAGAACGATGGAAGGAACTGCCTCCCTTAAAATACACTCTTCTTTATAGATCTTAGCAATATTTGCTAACTGGTGAGCGACCAAATTTCTTTGTCTGCAAATGTGAGTAAAAGAACAATGTTGGATGGAACGAGCTAGATAATGAATATCGTCAGACATCATAAACCAAGTTGGTATTAATATTTAATCTTTATGCCGTGAGGATTTGATTTGATTTTACAGTAGGTGCTGGTTTTATATGGACAAATAGTCCTTGTTAAAGTTGGTTTTTTAGTTAATATTGGAATTGTCATCAGTGGGTGTAGAGCTTCTCTAAATATATAAGAGTTTTGAGTCTAATTTTAGATATGACTAGCGGTTAAAAAATAACACTAGTATCCTGTATAGTTTAGAAAAAGTTGTATTATGTAAACCGACTTACGGTTTGGGTCTTAAACAGATTAGTATGTACAGTTAGAGGCGATTACAGAAAAATTCTGACAAAATGCTTGGTGATAATTTAATTCCATATGCTTTTAGAGATAGAGAAAACCTGGCATCATTCACTCAGTTTGCCGAATGTAGCTATGTGCTAGCCTGTTACCATTTCTGGGAACGTACTTGGAGAAAAGGGCTTGAAAATGACATGCTGATGTCTCTAAGTTGGATAGATTCTTATCGTGGCATTTGAAAATCCTGGACCACCTGAAAGGCAATTAGATTCAACCACTATGCCATGAAAATCAAGGGCCAAAGCAATTTGAATGTCACATAGCATAGCTGCAGCTTTTGCTTGAACCACTAGAATCCCTGACAACGCCTACCTTCTCTAACAGCTATTGCATCAAGAGTTTATCTTGAATAAAACTACTAGTGGAGGATATACCAAACACTGGTTCTACTTTTCTAGGACTAGCTAGGAGTAACTGAGGTAGCACTAAAGTTCTTGACTATAGCTTTGTTAATTCATCACCAAGTCTACCCTTGCCTTCAAAAGATAATTAGGATTATCACATTCCTGCTCGATGCCCAAGTTTGTTTCGAGCCTTTCATATAGTCCAGGCAACCGTAGCTATTGTTTCAGCAATCTCCTCATTTTCTTTCTCGAGTAAACGTGATAACCAAACTTGGAAACGATCATTGGACATCCTCATCCATACGCAGCCCAAGAGAACTCGCAAACCAGAATCAATGTGCCTTGCAGCAGTCCCTCAGACAATTAAAGCTCTCTGGATTCCAATACAGACTCACAAATGACACACGTAGTGAATTCAAAATGCGTAGAGAGAATTCTTACAAAAATGGGATATCCTTTTATCTGGTGGTCGATCCACAAGGACTCGTGTAAATCCGTTTCACTTGAGCAGCCCCAAAAGGCAACGGATCATGCTGTCCAAAAGCTGCTCATTCCATCTTAACCCAATTCTTGATTCAACGAATCAGTTCGGTGAAGATCTAAAATACCAGTTGACTGAAACGAGTTTGTTGCATTTAGTGTACTGATTTGGTTCTAACTACAGTACTTCTTTTGTTAGAATATTTTGTAATGTTACTTTCGGTTGCTTAAATCTTGTTATGGTTAAGTTCTTTTTTAGTTCAGCTAGTGCCATGCCATCATTGCCAATCTTTCATTAACAAAGTCACAATTATAGATCAAAATCTACAAAGATGGACAGATAACCAATTCCTTGCTTAAGTAAGCATAGCAATGAAAACAAGGCTGTATACAGCATCCTTTATTGTCACCAAAATAAAAATAAAATAAAAAGGATCCTAGAGCGTCATGCCTGATGAAACCTTAATGGTAGCAGGCCTCGATAAAACGTTCTTCCACCAAGCACTGACATGGGGGCGAGAAGTTACAACAGTTGCATATGGAGTCTTCATGAAGTAAACAAGGTAAGGAATATGGTTCATATCAACCATTGTATAATAATCCCCAGCAAGATATTTCGATTTAGACAACCTCTCCTCATACACATCAAGAATTTTTCCTAGCTTCTCTGTTTCAGTTTCGATTACCTTCTCGTCTGGAGCACGTCCAAACATGGGATTGAGAAAAATTTGTCTAATGAATGCAGAAATTGGACCATTGAATTGGTGAGCTTCCACTTCCATCCATAGATCAACAATGGTGGCCTCTGCGAAGCTGCTAGACCGGAGGAGATCGGTTCCTATGTCCTTGTGTTTAAGTGCCAAGTACTTGCAAATTGCTCGAGATTCTGACAATAGCGCAAAAGTTTGTACAAACAAATTGTGTATGAAAGAGTTATTGGTTCACTTAGAGATTAAGGTAATTTCTACGTAGTTAATAATCAAAGATGCAAATGATCTCACCAAAGAGACTGACATCACCGTCTTCAAATGCAGGTATTTGTCCAAATGGCTGTGAGCAAGAAACGAATGAAATTTCAGTCAGCATTTCATTTATATAACAAAAATCTTCATAGATAAGATAAAATATATAAATTATATATATTTCAAAGACCAGCAAACATTAAATTGATCATATTTCATACATTTAAAGATAGATAAGGTTGTTGCTTATGGGCTCCCTTCGACATCTGGACTGGCACGAGTTCATATTCAAGGCCTTTCTCAGATAGGCAAAGCAATACACGGGCTGTGCACGTGGACATAGCGACTCCATGAACCTTGATTGCCATGGCTAAAATTAGCCTAATAAGCTAGAAAAAATCTTGGTTGAAAGGAAAAAAAAAATGAGGAGGTTGAGATATATGAATGCATGAGCATCGGAATTTCGCTTACATATATAGCTGAACGAGAATAGACAGCTTTTTGTTAGGTTTCATAGGATGCATCACTAAACATGCTTTCTCTGTTTGGATTTCTCAATATTCTTCGGCTTTTTTGTTTTCATGCTTCTGGAAAAGGCATCATATGTTGGAAAAGTGACTTGACGTTTATTTATTAATCCTTGTATTATCAACAATGAGATTACAACATGTTTTAACATAATAATATTTTATTTTTCTTGCTTCTAGAGAGAGTTTGAGATGACTTGTTCTGTAATTGCAATAAGCTAGGCTAGTTTCTGGTATGTAGCTGAGAATCTTAGTTGATAGAAACATTTTCCTCTGCTATATGTGCCTGTACTTACAGGGCTTTATGTTTACTTTGGCTGCTAATTTGTCATAATTATGTGGGTAAATCACTTTAAAAACCCCATAGAGAGCGGTAATACTTTACATTTTATATTCCTATAAACTATATTTTATATTCTAAATATTCAAAGATGAACTTTCATATAAAGATATAGTAAAAAGACTAAAATACCCTAATATATATATAAATGAACTTAACCACTATTTAAGCATTTTTTCCAGATTCCCACCCAAATCTCTCTCCTTTCTTCCATTTATTGTTTTTAATTTTTCACTTTGAAAAAGAGAAGAAGTTAAAAAAGCTCATTTTCTTTGTGTAACACCGAGTAACCGCTAAAAAATAGAATTAAATAAAAATTTAATATTTAATGTGTGAGAAATATTTTGTAGTTACAAAAAATAATCTTGAAAGACTTAAAAGAATATTTAGAAGGGTTAAGGTGGGCTTTTATGCCTAATGACTATTTTAGTTATTTTTGGGTACGTGAATAGTAACTTTTATATGAAATAATTACTTTGAGCATGTTGCATGTTCATGAAAAATATGTTGTTTGCCTAGAATATTTGTTAGAGGGGTGCTGAATTATTTTATATAATTGTATGAATTTTATTATGTGCTATGAATATTTTATTTGAATTTTGATGTCCTGGAATAGTTTTTTTAGAGGCAAAGAATTTAATTAGGCACCTTAAGATTATGAGAAAAATTTTTAAAGAGCATAGAATAATCACTTAGGACGTGTGAGAGTGCCTAGAAAATTTAAATTAATTTTATGAAGTATAGGGAATATTTTTAATAGGAAATAGTGTGATTTTCACACCGAATAATTAATTTAGAGGCTCAAATGAGGTCCAAAAATTATGAAAATTTAACCTAAACTCCCTTAATATATTTTTGAATTTATTAGAAATTGAATTTTTGGAGAGTATGGAATGAAATTTTAAAAGTAAGGACTAAATTGTATAAAATTAGGAACCGATTGCATAAAATTAAAAGTATAATAATCCAAATTAAATTATGTAGGAATGTTAAGGGTCAAAATTAGTCCAAAAACTGAAAAGAGAGGATTAGAAGTGAGTTTTTGCATAAAAGAGGGATTTAGGAAAGAATGGGCTATGGAAAAGCCTAGAAACTTGGAGGACCAAAACTTGTCATTTTCCTCCCAAATTTGGCGAGCTCAAGGTAATTATTAATTCTGACCTACAGTAAAAATTATGGAAAAAAATAAACAAGGTCGAAGGGTTAAATAAAAAGGTGAATAAATGGCCAAAAAATGGGACAAATGCAAATAAATAATTGGAAAAGGAATTAAGGATTGAGATTCACCCAAATTAAGGGTAGAGATCAAGTCCAAAGGTTCATAAACTCCCCTATAAATAGTGTTGCTGAAAAAACTAAAAATGGCAAGAAAATAGAAAAAACCCAAACAAAAATCTTGCAAAATTTCCACTTAAAAGCACCCAAAATATTTTTAATAAATTTTAAGCACCTATAATCGATGGAAGGATCTTGAATTTTGAGTGGGAAGCCAAAAATTCTCAAGGAAAAAATTAGAAGATCAAATCCGAAATTTAGAGGGAAAAAGAGGGAAGAAAAATCCTTCATCAACTTACATTGTTAGAGTCTAATTGTAGCTCAAAAAAATAAATTAACTTCATCTACATCACAAATAACTTCATTTCTTGCCAATTTTGCATTTCATTGCTTTGATTTGATTAATTGCATAAACTGGCAAAAATTAGGGTTAGGGTTCTTGTTGATCTAACTTGGGAGAAATGAATTTTGATTGAAAATAATGAAATTGGGATTGAAATAGGTTGATTAAGCTGAAATTGAGGATTGAAACTAACAAATTCTTAGGATTCTTTCAATGTTACCATTTGACCCAAATGCTTAAATTAGGAGTTTTTAATTTTTGCATGCAATTGGTGTTTCAAAACTTGATTATGGATTATTTAGATTTGAATTAATGATCTATAATGAAAGATTACACATTAATGGAAGAAAAGTTCACTAATTTGGAGGAATTATATTCGACCTAATTTGAAAATTTTAGGGTTTGAATTCCAAGCAATTAATTTGTGATTTAATGGTTGATTCACACTTTAACAAGCATGTTTTGATGTGTAAGAATGAAAAAATTGGTAAAAATTGAAGGAAATTGATTATATAGGTTTGGGTCCAATTTCGGCCCATTAGGGCCCAATTCGAGTTTAAGTAAAATTTTGTTGCTTAATGAGAATTAAATTATTCCCTAAGATTAAGGTATCTTTGAGTCAATTGGTGTTAAAATTTTAAGGTGAAATGAGAAGAAATAATGAGGGTTTAATTAAAAAGATAATTCGGCCTAAGTGGAAGAATTTAGTGATCTACATTTCAAGTAAATATTAAACCCTAAATTGGCTAATCCAAGTTTGAATCGATGCAAATAAGTAAGTTACAATGAAAACATTCACAAAGATTCAAATGTTAGTTAATTTAATGCAAATTGACCTTTAGGCCCATTAAAGCCCAAATGAAAAAGGAACCATATAATTAGCTAAATAATACTTAATTAAGTTAAAATATGAAATGGAAAACAATTAGGTAAAGTTGATTGTGGAATGGAAATTAGGAACCTAAATAAAAAAATTTAGGAATGTTAAAGTGCAATGTTTTTTAATAAAATAAAAGAATAGAATTTTAATTGTTTACCTTACCTTTATGTTTATAATGGTGTTTCCATTAAAATAATGTATGATGCATTGAATTGTGAATGTTGGTTATGCTTGAGATATGATTGATGATGAAATTGTGTTTTGGAGATTGATGTGCCAATGATGGTTGAAATGGTTTATATGAATTGATGTTATCTATGCCGTTATGCTTCGTTCGATTTTATACATATTCTTATGACTTGGTTACATAACCATCTAAGGTAAGCATTCATGAACCAATGCAACATGCAATTTCATTTAGAATGCATATGCATACCAACGCTTATGAATAACATTTTTAGTCATGAAAATGTATTTATGCTATGATTTTTCGATAGTGATCATAATTATTTTAAAGAAAATAATTTTCATGACTTTGAGGTTTTGTAGAAAGGACTTTATGGGTTTTTTCATACGGTAATGATAATAGTTCGGGACCGGGTAAATACAAACGTGTACTTTTAAAGGCTCGGTAGGGGGTGTACGTAGACGGGTCTAGTTCGCTGGACATATATTATGAAAACCACGAAGTACCGAAATGGGATATGTCTAATATAGAAAAAGGATTTCAAAAAGAAATTATTATGCACATGTCGAATTTCACACACACATATACATGCATATGCATTACATGCATAAGTTAACTTACCGAGTCGTAACTCACTAATGTGTTTGTGGTGTAGCTAATATAAGTAACGATGGTTTTCATGACTTTCAAGCTAACTATTGAAGGGGTCGATCCGACACGTATGCATCGATTGTGGTTGGTGAATGGATTTCGTTCACGCTATAGCTCTTACCATTTTGGGTATTTTAGCCTACTTTATAGTTATGGTCTGTGTTTTGTTATGCGCTACTTAAAGCTATGGTACAATAGATGAAAAGGAATAGAAAAGCTGAATGTAATTAGTAGATAAGCCATTTTTGTAGTAGGTGGTAATGAACTGATTAATCTAGTTTTGTATGTAAATATCGATCCGTATGTAAATAAAGTACCGTTAGTGAACTACTAACGTAGTAATGGTTTAAATTTATTATTAGCATAGTAATTTCACTAAATGATATGGCCATATAATTGAATTAATATGAAAAATAATAATAAAATAAAATAATAATAATAAATAATTAATAAATAATAGGTCAAAGAGAAAAAAGGCGATGGATAAATTTTAACCAAATAAATTTGTATGATGAAAAGGAAAAACGACTTTAAGGAAAACGATTATCACAAATTTAAATACTTCGATTTTAAAATATAAATAGGATTGTGAAACACATAAAAAAAAAAAATTATAGGACCTTTGGGACTAGACGTAGAGCCTAATCGTAATTAGTGAACTTTCATAACGTAGATGTACCATCTAGGTCTATGGATAAGTCACAATGCCTTGGTAACTCGTGTTTATTGCACTCCGAACGTAAATTATCGACGAGTAATATTCTCGACCTATTAAGTCATAGATTTGGGGTGTTACACTTTGTTTTTTGATTGATTGAAGGTTGTTGTCTCGTTTAAAGCTTATTTGAAAAGGATTTAAACTAAATAAAAAGAATATAAAACCCTATTCTCAATTATTGAATTTTTTAAATAAAAATAGCAGTAACACGTAAAATATTTGGGTTAGGTTTATATATGTAGATTTCGAACAAAACCTCCAAAAATATTGTGTTTTTAAAGTTTTTTGTTTTAAGTGTGTTTTGAAATTTAAAGAAAGAAAGAAAGAAAAAATAATTGTTTAATATTGATTTTTTAAATTCAAAATTATTGTTTATACTAGTATTGTCTGTTCCGAACAAAACCTTTAAAATATATTTTGAAATTTCAAAACAAAAACTCTAATTGTTTAATGTTGATTTTTTTTTCTTTCCAAAATTGACCATTTATATTGTTAATGTTGGTTTCGAACAATGGTGAGATTGTTTTTTTTTATATATGGAGTTCTTTGTTTTTAAAAGAGAGAGAGCGGCGGATGGCCGGCTGGGTGCTTATTACGAAAGGTTGTGTAAAGAGGTGGTGATGGTACGAACTAAAGGTGGTATTAGGACAGTTGTAAATTGTAATGGTCGTTGGTGAGTTAAGGGGCTTCCAAGAAGACATGCTTACACTTGTTTGTTAGGTATGTCATGATGACCAGCAAACTAATTTTTCAATGAGAAAGAAAAGCAAGAGGAGGGATTTCCTAGCTGGAAGTTGTCACTTTAGCTTAAACTTGCAAATTGAGCTTGGTGATTAGGCATTTATTATTTCGCAAAACAACAACAACAACAATAATAATAATAAATCTTTATCAAATTAATGGTGTACCAAATTAAGGAGATAGTGTGGAGGCAAGGACATATGTTTGGATTGAAACTTTCACTTGATTGGGCATTTGCATAGAGAGTTCATCTTTTGGCATCACCCCTTTGCAAAACTGCTTGCACTTGTTTGCAGATTGACATGGACAACATAGAAGTCAGCAATCTTAATAGGCAATTTTTGTTCTGTCAATCACATGTTGGACAGCCTAAAGTAAAGGTTAGTGTTTTTATGAATATTTTTCATTTTTCTTGTATTAATTAGGTAATGATCAATTTCACGTCCGTCTTATCTTATTTGACATTAATAATGTTTCCAACAGGTCGCTGGTGATGCTGTATCAAGATTTAGGAAGATGAAATTATTTTGTAGAAACTGTAACAAACTGTTGTAGAATATTACATTACATGATACATAGAGTAGAATAGAGTATGATGTCAAACATAGACCTAGAAAGCCTAAATCTTTCTAATTAATTACGAGTGATGTGATATCATATACTAGTGTTCTTGTCCCAACAACCACACCCATCCAAAGAGGAAAAAAAATCAAACATCTAGAAAGTCAAACGCCACCATTTTCACACCAACCATTACTATCCCATTAACATGAACCAAAAAAAAAAAAAAAAATTAAAATCCACCAGCATCGTCAAATCCTGCATCATATCCAGCATCATAAGATGCACCATCGGACACCATATCTCCAATCAAAAGCCCACCAATAGCTCCTCCTAGCAATCCAGCCCCTAAGCCCATCCCAAATTTATTCTTCTTTTGTTGCTGCTGCGCTTGAACTGGTGGTGGGTACGCATACCCCCTTGAACAGGTGGATATCCATATCCAGGGGGTGGTGGTGGTGGATATCCATAACCCGGTGGCGGAGGTGGCGGGTATCCGCCATATGATGGTGGAGGTGGATATCCATACCCAGGTGGAGGTGGTGGATATGAGCCAGGTCCACCATAAGGAACAGAACTAGGCCCAACAACAGGCACAGCAGGATATGCAGTTACAGGTTGACTATTAAAATTAGTAACCTTTGCTGCGGCTGATGATGCTTCAGACACCGCTAGTTTCTCAATCTCACCAAACTTGTAAGAAAAGCTAATCTCACCTTTAGGTTTCCCTGATGGCTTCCTTACCTGATAACTAACAAACTTCATTGATTTACCATCGCCAGCTGAATCCAAAAGCTCCTTTATTGGCACGTTGACTTCACCGATATCTTTATCTCCTAAAGCACGCTCACATTTAAGCTTGAAAACAAGATTTAGACGGTTTTCTGCAAGTGGGATTTCAGGGATGGTAAATTTTTTAGGGAAGTTCCAAGTGGGGTTTTTGCCACCAGCTCTATCTATTGGGGTTTTGGCTTTTTGCTTGGGCTGTTGTTTTGAGTCATTACCAGAGATTGAAACAACAGCATAGACATCCATTTTGGAGATATAATTGACATCTTTGAGATCTCTTGCAGAGATTACATTGATCTCTAAGGTTCTTTGATCCATGGAGATAGAGAGAGAATGAGGAGGAGAGATGGAGTTCGGTGTGAGAAACCTATGGGCAATTTTGCAATTGACCTGGCGACCTCCGCTAGTGGGCTTGTATACGAAGTTTAAGTACAAAACAAGGCCAATGTAGTCAACTCTCGTGGCTTGTGGGTTATGAATTGGCTTCTTATGAGACAAGGAGAGTAACCATGGTTAGATATAGAACGAGAAAGCTGATCTAATGAATCATTGACCATGGTTAATGACTTTGTAAGGTTCTTGCTAGGAATAGTCTTCTGTGAAGAAGGATCTTCTTTTTGTTTCCATTTTTATCACTGAAGTTTTTTAATTAGTCATCATGTACGGTGACTTTAGTTTTTCTGCTCTCTTTTTGGGTCAATCCCATAAATTTTCCTCAACTGGCACTTTGAACGTACCCACACTTGGTGGGAACCGGGAACTGTCACCAGTCTTCAATTAATTTATCTAGAAGGTTTTCAGCCTTTCACAATAATTTTACATGCTAGTAAATAATCTTCTAAGCACAACGTAATTATTTAAATTAGAGCATGAATAATGTCATCATCCTATTTTTTACCTCACAAAAATAAAATAAAAATAAAGAAAAAATGACAAAATCAGAAAAAGAAAAAGAAAAAAAAGAATTAAAAGTCTTAAAGGAAGAAGAAGATGAGAAATTAGACCTAGATCAGAACAAACATGTGCTAGGCATTGAGCTAAATAATTTAGATCTGATTAATAATAATAATAAAATAGAATAGAAAAAATTCTAGACCAGGCATACATATAAATAGCAACCACACACACACAAAATGGACGAGATAAAAGAAAAGAAAAAAAATCCTAGCAGCTCAAAAAACAAAAGCCAAAACAGCAGCTACAAGGATTAGGCCGTCGCTCGCTGTAGGCCAACAATCTCCGATCACGCCCGACCAAAAAGATAATCAAGCCGAGACAATTCCAACGCCAGTTGGAACGAGGCTATTTCGATCTTCGAGAATCTCTTATGTGCTCCTTTTTTGTGGCAATGTCAGTGGTGAACTTTTGTATAGTTTGGTCCTCGAGCTTCAGATTTAGGTATTTAGACCCCTGCATTTTTAATTTGTTTTGATTTGATTTTCATCCAAGTTTTGTGCTACATGGTTACTCCTTTGATTCACATGCTACTGATATTAATTAGATACTTTGCATAATATTTGGATGAATAATTGAATTAAAATTATTTAATTGAGAACCTAATTGAAAAGATTTGAATTTAGAGTCATTGGTGTTATTTGATAGATTTAAAAGGCTTTAAATTTAAATTCTTTGTGATATATGAGTGTTTAAAATTTAATTTCATTGGGAGTAGGAATTATTAATATTTTCAGGATTGTCTTAATTACTTTTATTTTTTAATATATATATATATATATATATATATTTTCTTAAAAAGAAATATGGGGTTAAGGGATTGACTTAATATGTAATATTATTTTTATTTTTTGTGTAAAAAGTCCTTGAAAAACTATTAGTCAATGATGAAGCTAGCAATAGGCTAGCATTTGTTTTTCTTATGATGGCAAAATAAAGTAGATCAATATGAATTAAAAGGTTTTTGTGCGAGTGTCGATTAACTATTTTATTTTTCATGAAGTCGTTCTTATATGATTTGTGATCTTTGTATGTTTAATTTTATAGTATTTTTTTTCTTAAATTTATTTATTGTGATGTCAATCTAGATTAGTATAGACATAATAAGAACTAGAGACTAACTTTATTACGATGACGGGGCTCTTTTATTATTATTATTATTATTTATTTTTATTTTTCGATGCTATTGATTTTGCCTTATTGCGATTTAGACTTGAACTTTATGTTACACCTCAAGTATAGTTTATTAATTTAAAAATTAGCAAGTGAATATGGGCTCAAGGCCTATGTTTATATTTTGTTAGATTATCTTGATTTGAGTTTATAATTTTATTGCATAATTTGGTAGGTCAACTTAGGCTAATGGCCCAAAGTTATTTATTTTTATGTATTGTGTTAGGACTTAGTTGTCCAAATCATTAATGGGCCTTAAACCCTCATGTGCATCTTTTTTATTAGATTTTAATGGCGCGATGGCCAATTTAGGTGAGAGACCGATCCGTGTTTCTATCTCCAAATTACCTCATTTAGCATTGGTTAGAAAAACCTAATAATCAACTCGTAAATCGGAATAGAAAAGTAGACATATAATTGGACTTTACATAAAGAAATTCTCATGGATTAGAATTGAATGATAACCTCATTACGAGGGCACGTCGAGTGATCTGTACTATTTTCTAGTAGTATAATCAATTCCTTTAGTCGAACTCTTAGACCACTTTACTAGGTTTTTCTTAATTTTTACCTTTAAGCGAGTGTGATTCTACCTCTCGAACATATTTACTCTTACAATTGCCGAGAGGTCATTGTGTGAAAGAATAAAAACTTCACTAGGGATTAATGGGTTACCTCATTGTTCTTTTTTTTTTAGGAATTATCTTTGTTGTTTCATGTCAAGTCTTTTTAAATGTCTTTTCAGTTCTAATTCATAATTGTTTTATCTTGCTTTGTGTTGCATAATGATTTGCTTTGTTTTGCAAATTGGGTGTGAGATTGGTAATTTTTCTCTTGCATACATTTTACTAACACATGATATCCATACACATTTATTAGCTTTACACCCAAGCTTCGACTAGGACTAGATATGAAGTATCTTAGTATACGTATAGTCTTAGGCTTGTAAATGTTCCTAGGATGTTTCGTCTAGATTGAAACTCGTCCTATGCACACGAGCTCTTATAGGATTTAAAATCCTTTATGGTTAGTGCATATAAGGTAGGATTGAATTGCTCCACTAGTAACTTGGAGAATCTAGGGGATTTTTAAAAAGCTTTAGGACTAGATAATCCCGCCTAAGTTGTACATAATGACTCATAGCCAATTCTACAAGTGCGCCTATCTAAGCAAAAAAAAAAAGAAAAAGATTTATATGTATAACCATTTCTTTATTTTCACTAGAATATATCATGATTGAGTAAACAAGTGTTGAGTATGAGTTATGGGTCAACAGTTGAGTCAAAAATAAAAGTTGAGGGTGCCCAAAGAATGGATTCATATGAAACAGGATAAATGATTGCCTCTTATAACAACTTTTATTAGAAAAATAATTAATTGTATTTATATTGAATCAATTAGTATGTAACCATTGATTAGTATAAGTTATTACACTTTCTTATAAAATTTTTTAGGCATTGCATCCTTGATTATAATTTATATAAAAAAATCCTTCTATAATAATGATACCGAAAAGGAATTCACTTTAGAAAGAACGAATGTCCTTTATGTAGGTGTTTAGCTAGAATTAACTCTTAGAACCTCATAACATAAGATGGGCATCAACGTCTACGATCTCATACCCAATCTCAATTTATCGCAACCTTGATGGTCATTCTAGATACTTATTACAATATAAAAAAATATAGGTTGTAATGCAACACTCATCCTTTATCAAATATCTACAATACTAGACTTAGAAAGAAGATAGAGAATAAGGAAAGGAACTAGATGAAATAGAATCATGCTAAAAAAAGTTGAAGCTCTTAAGAAAGAAATTGCTCGATCGCTAGTTTGGTAGAGAAACTTCTTCAAAAAAAAAAAAGGATGAGAGGACACCTAAAGGGATTAAATCCTCCACCCCACTTGCTATTGAAGCTTCCATTGTGTTTCCTATAAAGGCTACACTATAATCACCCTATGTTATTGGTCCTTCTTCGGTTAGGCCTACTCTTCAAGATACAACCCTCCATCTATTGTAGTAGGATACGGGACTCAATTCACTACATAAGAGACATCGTATCTCTATGCTTAATAACCATTTTTGGTACTCCCAAAAGAACTAACTAGCCAAGTAGCTTTGATTGTGGATTTTCTTGTTGAAGAACTAATCAACCAAAAAGTTAAAGAGAAAAGTGAATTGGATAAACTCATATATGTTGAAGAGTGCTTAAGAGCTATTAAGGGGATCGATTTGTATGACCTAGTAAAAGCTCGTTAAAATATGCTTGGTACTAGATGTTGTCATCTGGAAGAAGTTCAAAGTGCTTGAATTCACTAAGTACATTACCACCCAATGTTTAAAAACTCATCTTCAAGTCTCTTATAGTAAGATGGTCGAGGTCATATATGATGAAAATTTCTTAATCTATTTCTTTCATAAGAGTTTAGATGGTGCTACTTTTAATTACTATATACATCTTAATAGAGCTAAGATTAAAATGAAAGAATTTCGTAGATGTTTTCATCTACTAGATAAAGTTCAATCAAAAAGTGGCTTATGATTGATTTATCTTACAAAATATGGAAAATACAACAAAAGAGTGTTAAAAAAGGTGTCTAAAGATGACTTGAGATCATTGCCTAAATCTATCCACTCTTGATAGAGAAGGAACTAATCTCCATGTTCTTCAATACTTTCAAGACACCTTATTTTGGGTATCTCATTAGTAATTCATTAAAAACTTTATTGGTACAATAATCATTGTTGAAAAAGTTGAATAAGCTATCAAGTCATAAAACATTTCAAAAGCTACTTAAAAAATAATTATGTTAAAGAAAGACATTGAAGTTCACCAGTTGAGGTTTGCTAACTTCTAACCAAGAGGGAAATGGAATAATCAAATGCACCCAAACCACTAATCTTTCTAGTCAAAAAATCATTAATCAAGCACCATCATTTTATGCATTTCCTATGAATATTCTCTTATCGAAATGGGTTATATATTTTCATTACCTTAAAGCTATTAGTAGCTTTACAATTATCAATTGAGACCTCTTAATAAAAATAATCAAAGCGAGAAGAAGGTACCAAGACATACTTCCTTTTCTTTCTATGTCTATAGGCGAGTTGTATAAGCATTTTGTCTTTATTGCTTAGGTCATCTCCATCCTTACAAATCTAGTTTAATCATCATATTTGCATTGGTATA